TGTGGTTGAGCGCGTGCAGCGGCGCCGGCGGCGGCGGCATGGACAGCAACACCGTCTGGAACTGCTTGTAGGTGAGCGGCGAGCGGCCGCCGGCGCGCTCAATCACCCTGTCCGCAAACGGAGCACCCCGTCACCCGGGGGCGCGAACCCGGCTACGGCTCCCCAACCGTCTCCAAAATAACAACAGACGAGGAACTCCCCACACGGAATTACATTGGTCGACTGTAAGTGCTCATTTCCTGGAGTGAGTGTATTTTGGAATTACGGTACAAGGTTTCTTTATTTCATTTGACCGTGACTCGATAGTATGTTTAACATCCTAGACAGCACTGGGGTCACGTCTTCACGAGAGAGAATAAAACAAAGAAAAAAGAGAAAAGAGAGACGGTGAGAGAGAAAGAAAGAAGGAGAGGGAGAGAGAGAGAGAGAGAGAGAGAGAGAGAGAGAGGAGAGAGAGAGAGAGAGAGAGAGAGAGAGAGAGAGAGAGGGGGGGGGGAGTCGCCGGCGCCCGTCTCACTCACGTGTCGACGTCGTACAGTGTGTGACATGTGCGCGAGACCACTTCCACGTTGTGTTCGAGCGCCATTTTCCGCACGTTCTGGTCTCGCACTTTTCCGAACGGTTCCGGATCCTCTCCAAACGAAAGACAGGTGATGTTCCATTTCTGCCGAGAGCGAACACTGAGATCACCGCGAGGCGCCATTAAGCAGAGATGCTACGACTCGTACACATTTGGGCACGCTTGCGCAACCCTTGTACAATGACCATTACCTCTATTATATCGGCCATGAAGATGTACACAAGTTGCTAACATTACGTTTTACTGTGTTTTTTTTTTTAACGTTTATAAGCATGAACAAATCTGGGGCACTCCAAGAGCCCGGCACACACTGACATACCGCACCATTCTTTCGAGGACTGACCTTGAACAGGCTGGGAAGCACATCTGCGGGCTGGCCTCTGATCACGAACAGGCGCGAGTTCAGCCGCTGCAAACTCTTGTCCAGATCCTCAAGACATTGCAATAGAAATCTGCGGCAAAGGAACGCCTGCGATGACAATTGAGTCAATTAACTACGGTTACTTAAACGTGTCTCAAATTACGTTCTCTCACCTCGAACGGATTACACAACAGGTAGAACGATCTCAACTCAAGTCGTTTCACCCCTAATTGACTTGAGCTTAGCTAAAACAAAATGAGTGTTTTGATTGTGACGAGAGCAAATAATGGTATAGATAGCGTTCTGGGTGTGCTAGACGAATAGGTAGCTTTCCAAGGTAGCTCAAGTATCAAGTTTCCCCGAAATCCGCGCTCAGTCCAGATTTTCAGAATCATATGACTACTGACCAGCGCCATTGTTTTGCGCTTTCGCTCAGGTCATCTTGTGTCTCTTGGTCATCCGATACGCCAATCGAAAGTAACAGAAATCGAGAACGCCACATGACAAAAACACAGATTGACCGTGATGTAATGGGCCAATAAATCAATTCTCAATGCGCCGTAATAGTCTCTCGGTGTAGTGTGGCATTACATAAGGTCGGGCGATTACCTCCACTTGTTGATGCCCACGTTGGACGAGCCGGCAAACCACGGATCCAGGATGTAGATGCAGCGGAACGTGGTCGAGCCCGCCACGCCCTCGAGCAGGCTGGCGTTGTCGTGCAGCCGCAGACCCTTGCGGAACCAGTGCAGACTGTGTTTGGGCGGGTCATCCTCGCTCATCTTTCCAGTCCGTCAACACAGGACAGCCACTGCAACAAAAGACACAAGTCAGTTTTTTATCACATTCACCGCCATCCGACATCATCCCCTCCGCTGGTCCGCACAAAGTCAGTTATGAGAGTAAGGTTAATATCTCTTATTATATTCATGTCTCTCAAAACTCTGCTAAAAACCATCCAAGTCTGTTTCGATTGAACGTGTCCATGAGGTGTACACCGTGACAGCGTTTGCTGTCCAAAAAGACATGTCAGACTATCGTTTAATATGTGGATTTGCAAATGTTTCTTGGATACACGGATCCGCTCAGTTTCATGCGGAGAGAGTTTCATCTAAAGCTTTGAGTGAACGTTGGCGTTCGCCATTCCATAACGTTATCTCATATTTGCATGTTACGCTGCACGATCGATGGACGAAAATAACCTTTAATTTCAACTTTCATCAGGCCGAGCAAAGTTACGCAAGAACTTGAGCAGAAGCGACCAGAAATAAACAAAAACTCCTACGGTTTGTGCCTCGCATCGAAGACAAAACACTGCTGTATAGTGCATAATATTTTAGCTGGAGTTAAGATCAAACCGTACGTCACACAGATGGTCCTTTCACTGACCATCTTCACAATGAGCGGGCATCTTATGGGAATTCCTGTTAGCTAAGCGGTGCAAACACAGTAAATGTCAAATAAGGAAACATCGTCTTGCTGGACTTCTGGTTCCCGGAAATGCTAATAAAGCGATAACGAATTCAGCACACGACAATTTAATTTGACGAGAGTTAAAATGTCATACGAATACGAGTAGATGGTTTTCTACGGTTTTCTACGAGTAGAAAAACCGATACGGTGTGGCAGTGACCCGACAGACGCACAGCTGAGATGGATTTGGCTACCAATACTGCTCTAGGGGTCGCCGTACTGTCTAGCTCAGACCGCCGAGATTGGAGCACCGATCAATAGCGGAGTAAACACCAGCTAATTTCACAATATATTACTGAGGTTCCACTTGCTTAGCGCGACAATCATCAGGGCGTGTTGGATACGAATAAACCCAGCGCCATTCGCACTACTACTAAAAAATGGTTAAAATTGCCAATGTATTAAGTACCTATTCAATTTTTCCCGACAATTTAGATAATTATCCAATTATATCAGGTATGATGATGACATGAATGACGTAAGTCTTCATGAAGCCAAATACCTACGCTATTAAAAAGTTAAGAAACCTGCTCCACCGCTGCAGAGTGGCACATTTTGGGACAGTTACCAAGATAAAAGGTGTGAGGACAGGGTAATTTCATCTTTATATTTCGCAAAGAAAAGAGTGGCCTGGAGGCTTATGCACAAACATTTAGGGAATAGGGACCATGCAAAACTGAATATCACGCAAATAAATAAGCTTGGAAAATGACCAGAATATAGATTGCTGAATCAATTCTTTCCTTTTTATAATGCATTTGGTGGCAATGTGATGGCTAGATGTAGACGTTTTCGTTTCCTTTATCAATTTTTGAAGTTGATCTCGTTGCTCAGTGGCTCTAAAAAATAAAAATCATGCTAAAATAGGATGATTCCAAAGAACCTTTCCGCAAAATGAAATGGTTGTATCTATGATCCCGTCGGATCTCAGATCAAGATCCGTGGAACCAGATCCCAGATCCATTGCATTAGAGCAATGCACATTGCACACGTCTGATACGCTTATCAGTGTCTGTTTATTCCACAATTTTCCCTTGGTGCACATGAAGGTATCGTGCCCTGACCACGTCTTATGGATTTCTCAGCTGAAATGCCTTCTACAATGCATGTTTTAGAGGTTGTTTTAGGGTTACCTCGAGTCTCGATATTAGATGACACCGAGCACCGACTTCTGACCAACACTAAATCAACAGCAAACACATCCTCATTCAAGAAAGCATCAAAGTAACGAAAAAGCGGAAAACAATACAGCTTGAAAAAACTACCATCACGAGCTAGACCCTAACAGGTTTCCCTCGAGACAGTCCGAGCGGAAGTGTGGCACGATTGGCTACCTGTCCGGACGTCCGCAGCTCATGCCCGGCGCGGCTGGCCGGTGCCGGCCCCGCGGCGGCCGCTCACTAGGGTTGTTCAAAAAAACCGAATTTTGGAAAAGTATATGGGCTCATGGCTCATGTGGTGCGGTATTCTTTTCTGAGACCAATGATGCCCTTTTTACTGAAAAGTATTAACTGTTAGGGGCTCCTCAAACGGCTTAAAGAGGACCATGTTACGCCCGCCGACCGACCGGTGTCACTAAGGGCGAGAGTTCGACGCCGCACGGCGGCGGTAGCGCCTTATCGGCACCGCGCGCCACGACATCTGCCAGGCGGCCGGCTGGGCGGTGGGAAGTTATAAGTGCGTGGTCTTATTGCACACGATCGGGGTGAGCTATCCCATGTTTTCGGGGCGGAAAGTTTCAGTGCAGCATCGGTGCGTCTGCCACGGTGGTCTGTGTCGATGGTATAGAAAATAACTCAAGCAGAGCTCAGAAAAGAATGAATGATTCCGGGTAGTTGCCTCGAAACAATCCGTTTCAAGAATACAGCTGCCTTCTTTACGTACCGTATCACTTGTTAATTCTTCAAAAAGCAAACTCTGAGCAATAACACACCTCTTTGCGTTGCTGTTGACAATTTACGTTAGTTTTTGACGGTGGCTCGCACCCCCAATATGCTGCCGCGCAACTTTATTCCAACGGCGAAACGGCAACTTCGCGAGAATCGAAAATTCACGATATACGTACAGCAGGGGCTGGCAATGCAGTATGCACAAGGACAGAATGTGGAGGAGCCCCGACAGTCATCGGCCCAAGTTTGGGGGTGGCTTTGACGAGCATATGCGTCACCAATGTCATTATTCAGATACGTTGATGTCAGATGCTGGGGCAACAGAATCGACGCCAGGTGTAACCTAGATTAGCGGGTCGAAAGAAAACATAACATGTCTGGGAATGACAGAGTGGCCACCCTGACAGTGTGACGAAGTGAGACATGAGTAGAGACATTAGCCGGAGTACCTACTCATATAAATCAAGCGCCGTTTATCCAATCCTTCGAGCATAAGCGACGCCGGCAGTCCGGCCAGGGCGGCCGTGCCCACCGATGCCGATCAAGACCCGAATCCAGACCCGGCATAGAACACAGCTCTGCCCTGACGTGACACATTACCCCGGTGTGTCACTCATGACGGATAGACCAATGCAGGAGCCTTGCCAGCTCCTGTTGTACCTACTTCGTTAAATTTTCGATTCTCGCTAAGTTGCCGTTTCGTCGTTGGAATAGAGTTACGCGGCAGCATATTGGGGCTGCGAGCCACCGTCCAAAAGCAACTTAAATTGTCAACAGCAATGCAAAGAAGTCTGTTATTGCTCAAAGCTTGCTTTTTGAAGAATTAACAAGTGATACAGTACGTTAAGAAGGCAGCTGTATTCTTGAAACGGATTATTTCGAGGCAACTACCCGGAATCATTCATTCTTTTCTGAGCTCTGCTTGAGTTATTTTCTATACCATCGACACAGACCACCGTGGCAGACGCACCGATACTGCACTGAAACTTTCCGCCCCGAAAACATGGGATAGCTCACCCCGATCGTGTGCAATAAGACCACGCACTTATAACTTCCCACCGCCCAGCCGGCCGCCCGGCAGATGTCGTGGCGCGCGGTGCCGATAAGGTGCTGCTGCCGCCGTGCGGCGTCGAATTCTCGCCCTTATTGACACCGGCCGGTCGGCGGGCGTAACATGGTCCTCTTTAAGCCGTTTGAGCAGCGCCTAGCAGTAATACTTTTCGGAAAAAAGGGTATCATTGGACTCAGAAAAGAATACCGCACCACATGAGCCATGAGCCCATATACTTTTCCAAAATTCGGTTTTTTTGAACAACCCTACCGCTCACGTTTCTCGTCACGCGCACCATACCACACAGCGAGCGGCGACGACTGACCGACGACGCCGACGAAGCGCTCTGTCGACACCGACGGCGGCGGCGCGCCCTGGCGACCCCGCCGACAACTAGCGGCGCACGTAACCGCGCCGCAAATAGTCTGCCGAGACAGCGCCGCCATCGACAGAAGCAGCGGCCGCATGGAACCGCCAGTCTACAACACTATAATAAATGTTTAGTCCGATAGTTCCGTGCAAAGCATGGCTAAGTTAATCCGGTTTTCATTTTATTTTCACTGATTGATAAATGTGGCAGCAAAAGTACATCTCGGAATTTCCATATCGGCAGGCATCGGTAAAATCCTTTTTGAAAGGATTGCATTCCCAATCCACATTCCTAGTGCCGAAGTGGACTGCATTCCTACCCGCAATCCCCTTTTTCACTTGGATTAAGACCAAATCCGCAATCCTTTTTTGCAATCCTGTTGTATTATTATGTGCACTAGTGGATCTGGGGGAGGGAGGGGGGCATAGGGCCGTGCCTCCATCCCCAAATCACCCATTTCTAGTACCTAGTCTTGCGAGTGATTCCTATCTAAGGCACAGGTATTTTATGGGAAATATTTTTTGCCTCAAACACCCCCACATTGAAACCTCTACCCAACCAGTGTTTTATATTTTTGAAACTCGCCCTCAAATACGTAACTTTGCCCTTCCTATGTAGTTCATCAGCGTATATTATTTTGAGCGTTTAAATTAAAAACGTTTAAATTATTTCAAGCTTAGATGTAAAGCCCTTGATAGCAAAGTACATTAAGCCGATGAAGCCGATCTAATAATTTTCAATCGCAACAAACCATTTCAAAGCACTAATCAAACACAATCCGGATTGGATTGCAAAAAATGGAAGTATGATGCAATCCAATCCGCAATCAAATCCTGTTTTTTGGAATGGATTTCAAATCCAGGTGCAATCCACCAAAAAGGAATGCAATCAGGATTTTGCAATCCTGCAATCACAATCCTACCGATGCCTGCATATCGGTGACCTAAATTTAAATCAATTTGCGTCCTCTCACACAAATCAAGGAGATAACATTGAGAA